CAAAAAGAAAAGGCACGTAAGTACGAATCGAGCCAGGGTAGTATACTTACACGAGATCCCACAAATTCGCTGGGAAATGAGCGAAATCGGTCGGGTTTCGCGTGTAACTCCGTACAAATTGCATACACCAACCTTCTCGTAATACCATACTTTGACTGGTTATTTTAGGACGTGGCTATTTGTCCAGGTGTCGCGTGAGTAAATACAAATCCGAGCCCCGTTCCGCAGGATTGGAACGAGGCTAGTAAGACGCCGATCGACGCCCGCGATAGACCCACGATTCGGAGTCCCAGATAAATGTGATTCGCCGCGTAAACAACGGCTCTTGCTCCCATTCCAGTTCTCCGATCGCCCCCTCGGATAACACTTGTTTCGTAAGATTGACTGTTTAAGTGTGAACTGGAAACATGTGGGACTTACAGTTTTACCTGACGATTCCAACAAACATTCAATATACGAATTTCATTCTTTTGAATAACATCATATGCATGTTTTTTTTTTCATTATTAACAGCTGTAATGAAATTAAGCTTGGGCGTTGAATACGAATCAAGATATTTAGAGCTGATGGCGTCAAAAAGCGCGCTTTTGATACTTTTTATAATTAGTTCAAGACCAAGAAATATAGGGCTAATTTCTAAAAATCCACTGAACATGAAAAAACTTATTTTTAATGAATAAATAATTTGTCACTAAAACTATTAGTCATACAAGGAACATCATGATATGTTAAATAGTTAGTACTTCTAAATTTGTCAGATACAGAAGTAAAAAAACACAAGAATAAGGAATACATGATACGTTTCTCACGGTTGTGAATAATTAAATGAGATGAAGACAAAAAACAACAACGTGACATTCTTGCATAAGGATTTTCACACAAACTAAGACAAAATTTTCAGAAACGAAAAATTGAATTTTTATATGAAATACAGGTGATTCGTGTTTCGTCGAGTTTAATATTAAATAATCAGATGTCATGTTCATTGAAAGTGGTTGCAAATTCGGACCATTTGTTACAAAATCCCCAAGTAGTACGCTTACAATTAAAAAATAAACAATTCGAAACCCTCGTGTTATCGGTAAGTGACTTTCATCGAGTTGCGAGAAAAAATTCAATTCGTCACCCGCCCCGAGAACCCCAGCGAGGTGTGCAGGTGCGCCAATTAGGAATCGATATTCCAGCGAAGCTGTACAACGTTAAAAGAAAAGAAAAGAAAAAAAAAAGAAGGAAAGAAAAAAAGCTGCAATCAGCAGAATCGTTTTTCTCCGCTGCACGGTACATAGCAGTAACGGTAACAGCTATGCGGGAGGCCATCTCCGCCGAGAGCGCTTCCCTCCTCAAAAGCCCAGAGCCGGTCTCCAACGGGGGGGTGAGGCGCGAAAATCCACCGAGGAAATTATCATTCCCCAGCCCTCGAATCGATACCAGCTCGCACTGTATACTTGAGCCCATAACGAGCTAAAAAGAGGACAGCGCCTTCGGCCCCTGCAGCTCGAGGACTCGATAAAAAAGAAGGAAAAAAAACGCGCTCCTCTTTTACGCGCCGAAGCGCCATTCACTCTCTCGACAGGGGGGGAAGAAAAGTTTTCTTCGCACCCCCCGATTGCGCAATAACTTTCCTCCTCTCTTTTCCTGGGATTCTCATTGCACCACGGCTATGCGCCTACATACAGCCCACTGTGTACACTCTATGGGTTGGAGAGCCCGGTCTGACCGTATCTGAACTCGGACTACTTAAACGAGCGAATGGCCACAGCTCACAGATATACGGAGCCCAGACGCAGATGGATATATACTTACCTTGCACACACGTAGCGAATTCGCCTAAGGAAACTTTACGAGTTGGTTATCTGTGGCTGGCGAGCGTATATATGTATATATATATACCTGCAGGCTGTCATTGCCCGGGAACGAACGAATCGCAGGGAGGCATTTACAATGGAAATTTCTCTTCACCAACTCGATCGTCCTCTTCACGCGAATCATTTCGAGGAATCCCTTGGTAGTGGCGTTGATGCATTCTCCCCTCGGTAAACGTGCCCGAGTTTGCTTTTTGGTTAATCCAACCGATATTTGGTTGTGCAATGCACTGGTTGACCAAGGACAGAAAAGGTTGGCCAAATTTTTTTTTTTATATAGGTTTGGTCGCGTTGTTCGCTTGGGTCGTGATACACCCGTTTTTTGCATCACAGTGATTAAAAATGTTGGCATTGAACTTTGGTACCGGTGTACTTGTGCAAATTGTTCGTGATCTTATCGCACGGCTTACGTACTCGCACGCACACGAGTTGAAATTCATGACACGATGATTATATGCAAATCCGCGCTTTCACTTTGGAAATTGCCTGGTCAGGCCGACGCGGTAATTGGACGCTGCCATCTCCTTAGGCACGAAACCGTAGGTAACAATAGGAAGTTTTGCAAGCTGAAAGAACGTGCCGAGTTCGTCCCAAGGTCGTTGATCACACGATTCGGCTCGTTTGCCTGCAGATTATGCTCGGCGATATACAAATGAGGCGTGAGCTGCCTTTTGTAAACAACTTCCCGAAACTCGTACGAAATCGATATAGAGACATTTGCGCCCGGGTACGAGATTACGCGGGACAAAGGATTTGTTGGTACGGGGAAATGGGAGTCAGAGACATCTGTTTTGCGCGGAACAAGCACAAGTGATTGTTTCCATTGCAGAACAGTGTACCAAGTAGGGATGGGATCAAAGATTAGTCCAAGATTAAACCCAATTCCGAAAAGATCAAAGTGACCGCGAAATTCGATTTCCTACAACTTCGGTCTAACATCCCGTTGTCCATAAAAACGAGTTCTCGCTGCACTTAAAACAAAACATTGGTTACAGTACAGATGAGGATCAACAAAAAAACTTATGATGAAAAAAATTCAAGGATCGAGTAAGACAACGTTGCTGCTTAAGTTGCATCTCGAGTAATGAGCACTTCAGCACTCCTTCATAAATACGCGGTCTAACTTTTCTCCCCAATTTGAAACTCATTACGATAAACTTTGGCTTTGTTGATTATTCCCGGTAGCAGTATGCGCCTGATCATTATTTTACATGAAAGTGGCTATTAAAGTGTTAATAAATGATAATTTATCTAATTGAGGTAGTCTGTTGTAGAAATGATTTACTGAATACCATTAAACTAAAGAAGTGGTAACAATCTACTTTCCACTGTTTCACAAGTCAACTGCGGTATTTGCCCAATAGACGGTGGACTAAGAGAAGTCCACTTTTGTACTAAAATATAAGAATATTTTACCTACCACATGAGGTATATGGTTTGGGAAGTCATGTGAATCGGAATGTTTTCTTTGTACAGACAAATATCCTTATCATTTCTAAGGAGTTTCAAAAATACTTTCTTCGTGATTAGTTGTTTATTTATTCACTTGTTGGTACACAACTATTGTGCGAGTAACTCTAATACATATAAAATCGAGTAGAAAATTATAGAATTCTCCTTTTCCTGCGCTTAAAAAAAAGGTTAATTCCTAGTGTGTGTAACCCATTTGGGATAATAATTATGTAAGAAAAACCAAAGAAATGACAATAAAATCAAGTGTTGAGAGACATCTTTTATCGTGTGATGCAAATCATAACTTTCCATCAATATTTTACGAAGAATAAGACCCCATGTACACTACCAATAAACACTATCTCTTTTTCGTAAACGATACAATAAAAGCTTGAAAAAACAGCACACACACAAAATCATGAATACACTAATCCAGGTTGTTTTGAACCTCTGCTTGCAGGACCCCTCAAAATGGAGGAGAGCGAGAGAAAGCCGCCCCGCCAGCGAATCTCCGCGCCAACGTCGTCCCTCGCCGATCTCGGAATCCTAAACAACAGCGTCCCCGAGTCCTGCCCGTCATTTTCGTCCTCGCTCGCGACGTCAGCTGGAACGAACGCCACTCCACCGCGTCAAAGTCACCGCCGTCGTCGTCGTCATCATCACCACCGTCGTCGTCGTTGGACGTTATCGCGCGCGCGGGAATGCACCACGCGCGACAGCGGTGCCCTTAAAAACGAATAAGAAAAAAGAAAAAAACAAGCTTAACGAGCAAAACAAGGACATCTTCCGTCGAGGTGCTCCTCGACTGGCTGTGATCGTGTTCATTTCCTGTTCTCTATCGTCGTTCTCTCCCCCCCTCCCTCCGAGCACGCTATACAATGAACGAATAATCGGTGCCGAGCACTCGCGAAATTGCCGGCAGGACAATAACACTCGGACAAAAGTGCTAGTGTCAGGGATTTAGGAAAAAAAAGAAGAAAAAAGATAGAAAGAAACGAACGAGCAAACAAACAATGATAAAGACGCTCCATCCCGCTTCTACCCCCCGAACAACGTGTCACGAGTGCGATAGGCGGATGAACAAATAAATGATATCGAGCCACAGTTGCGAGTGGGTCTTGAGCTTTGGTGGACAAAGTGTGTGCGAGTGAAACGAAAACAAACAGCAAACAGGTCGAAAGTGTAGTGGTCGCTTCGTCCGGGCTCAAGGAGCTTTAAGGACGGGTACTCGATAATACCGCGGATCGTTTTCGAGACAAGTGGATGAAACAAAAAGAAAACAATCCCATACAGCCGGGAATTTGCAGGGTACACGTGTATATATATGCGATTACGCGGACGATTTGTCAGCTTTTTGTTCTCGGCTTTGGTTATTTTTCATCTTTCGCAACCACGTCACGAGCAACACGAAGAAGAATCACAGTTTTGCGGAAAGATTGTACGTTTCGTTACATTTAAATTGGNTATATATATATGCCAAAGAATATAAATCATAGTTTACAATTGCACTCAATGATACAAGGCTACCGTTGAGTCCTTGTCCACTTTCCCGCCTTGGCTGGGAGTCTCGGTGGGTGGGGGCCGCGATGCGCCAATCGCCGAGGAGAAGACGTAAGCGCGAGAGGCTGTAGGACAAGGAAGGGCCAGGAGGTGGTGGGCTGGCGAGGAAGGGGGGGTTGCCAGAAGATGCGAGAGCTGAACGAGACCGCGTGCAACGCGTTGTACTCGGCGGTCGAGTGGACGGGAGCCGGGATAGTCGCGACCTTGGCTGTGCTCGCCGTGGTCAACGTCATGGTCGTCCTTGGCAACGTCCTCGTCATCGCGGCCGTTTACAACAGCATCAAACTACGCAACGTCACCAACATGTTCATCGTCAGTCTTGCTGTCGCTGATCTCATGGTTGGCGTCGCTGTGCTGCCCTTCAGCGCCACCTGGGAGGTGTTTAAGGTAAGTTTTTCTCCTTTTTCTAAGACTTTTGTCCATTTATGCTTTGGAGTTTTGCCCTTGCGTTTAGTTAAAAGAATGATTAGTGGCGCTGATAGTCGTGAGCCTTCTCTATTTCCAAACTTCGTCATACCATGGAAGTTTGCACATCACAGTGGTATTGAAGCTAATAGGGTGGTTCTAATTTCGCCCGTGCAAAATTGTCCTGCAGACTTTTCTGCATGTTTATTGCACCCAAACCCTGCAACCTGAGCTGCAGTTATTCCTGGAGACTTCCCTGCGGCCTGTCTCAAGTTTTCAAGAAAAAAAGTTGTGTCCTGATCTAATTTATTGAAGGTAGATCAGCCACCTTTCGGATGATAACAACAAAACTAGGGAGTTGAAGTATTTTTTTAAACAATTGTTTGAAAATAAAATTTTTTTTTCTAGTTTATAGTTTTTTAAAAGTTGTTCAAAAATACTTCAACTCCCCAGTTTTTGTGTTATCGTCTGGATGATAACGGCGTATGTGGCTGATTTACCTTCAATAAATTAGATCTGAACACAACTTTTCTTCTTGAAAATTTGAGACAGCCCAGTTTTCAGGGGAATCTGCAGAATTTGGGCGCAATAAACATGTAGGAAAGTGTACAGGATGTCTACAGGTAGGCTACAGGATAATTTGGTACGGGAATTTATGGAATCCTCACACCGATTACAACAGATTCCCTTATGTTTGTTACTTTACGTGAGAGAATAATCGTTCATCTGAATGAAACTGAATCGTTAATTTCTCGCGAATCGTTATCTTAAATTCGTGTTGCATGAGAATGTAAGATCAATGGAAATTTAGGGAAACCTCTGAATTTGTGAGGATGGATGTGATTTCGGAAAACTGTATTTCTAGTACGCCACAGTGAAAACAAGTGCTTATAGAAGGACGCCATAAAGGTTTTAGTTGGTTTTTGATGAATATCAGTATTATTGTTTGGTTGCAATAAATAATGGATTGCTTTGGTTGGGCTTATGCGAAATATCAAAGTGGTTATGGTATATAAAAAAAGTTTTACTTTACCTGGTGATCCTCAAAAGTTGCGGTAATTCTGAGACGAGTAACGAAGCTATAAAGCAATTGAGATTTTGATCGCATCGATTATCTTGAAACTGATGTATAACTTTAAATGGAAGGCACTCAATTGAGAACGTGTTTTTTTTTTATAATGTAATGATTAAACTGTTAACTTAATCTAATGACTGTTGTTTGAGATATTTATCTCCCAAAGTGAAATAATTATGAAATCTTTGTGAATCTGGGTATACAGTTAAATTAATGTCTAATAAAGACCCCATTAATTTTTGATACCGTAACATCAATGCTTACAGAAAAATGTTCTTATAATTACTTGTAAAAATACTAAATAATGATAAACTTTTATCATTATTTTGTTGTATACTAAAAAAAAGTATCTAAAAATCTTATTTAATTTTATAAAATACTTCGTAAGTGACTGTAAAAGAATATGTTGTCCTGTAAATATCTCTGTAATAAGTTAGTTATGTTTTTACACGAGTGCACAAACAAAACAAAATCTTGAAATAATTAGACTATGAGTAACCATTCCAATAGTAGTTTTTTTTCCTTTTCATTGTTGTGTACCGTAAGTCAGACTTAAATGTTTTATCCACATATCATGTAGAGTCACATATTAATACCATCTTATGTAGTACAATTTGACGGCTATTATACTTACATTTACTCAAGTACCATAAAACGTTAGGCTGTGAAAACCTTTGACCTTCTAACTTTAGTGGGGATTGAATTACTCAATAAATGATAAATCCGAACGTGTAGGTAAATATCTTTGTACAAAATACGAGAGTTTCAAAATCCCTACTAAATCCCTTTCCAATATTGTCGATATTCTCCAATACTTTTGATACAATGACGTTGGTGCTTAACAACTTACACACACAGATATCCACCGGTAAAATTAATAAAGTTTTTAATTTCACATCAGTGTTTGAACAACGAAAATCGCGGAGTAAAACAATTTTTCCCTCGTCATTTTTTCCTACGAATCGTGTTTGCTCGCCACAAATACATTTTTAATCGAATTTTTAATTAATTTCGTAATCTCGCCGAAGCCTTGGACCAACCCACCAATAAAATTTCAATTGACCGGATCTCCGATCAATGTAATTACAGGATCCCACATTCCCCCTGCAATGCGAATACGCGTCGCCCAAGGCAGCGTTTTATGCTACGAAATTTTCTTCTCCCCCACTGGTGGCTCAAACGAATCACGTAGAGAACCAATCGACAAATCTGCGTGAATGGAAAGACCGGAAATAGGCGTCAACAAAAAAAAAAAAAAAGAAGCGCAAACCAGTGGTTCCATGGGAATTTATCGGGAATTCCCACCACAACGCACGCGCGGGTAGAATAACGCGTCCGGGGCCAAAAGGCCGGGCAATCAATGCAATTATGTGCGTAAATCGCGTCAGCGTGCCATCGTTCATTAGCTCGCCTCTGACTGATTGTTTCCAAACGCAGGTGTGGATCTTTGGGGACATTTGGTGCTCGATTTGGTTGGCCGTCGACGTCTGGATGTGCACGGCCTCGATACTCAACCTGTGCGCGATCAGCCTCGACAGGTACCTCGCCGTCACTCGCCCCGTCAACTACCCCCAGGTAAGATGGCGCGCTGTGCAAATTTAAACATGTATATATTTAATTTGGTACACTTTTACCCAAACATACCTGAAATACACATATATTTCCATCCTTACATCAAGTCTGTTTTTCAATGACAAAGCATATGTTACGCATACCAATCACTCCCACGTGATAAGTTGACATCTGGATTCTGGATGAAATTTTTTTACTACAAAAATAAGTCTTTTTTTCTCCGTTTGATAAATAACTCTACGTATAAGGTTTAAATTAGATGATTAATATTTTCTGAGTGTCTGAGGTAGGATGATTCAACAGTGGGTATTTTTAGAGATGCAGTGAAAGAAAATACACATTAGAATAATGTCTGTGATAACAAATTTAGCTAACTTCTTTATTCGAATAATACGAACAATATAGAGAAAGTGTTTTCCACAATGTATCTTGATATTTATTTATTCATGTCAAGAGGGAATATACTAACCCACGAAATTTAGTGTGAAAAAAAAAGTTTTCAGAATAACAAATAATTTTAATCAAATCGATTCGATTACCTCTGGAAATGTTGTGCATTGTATTCTATAAAAATACTCAATACACAAATGAATAAATTGTTAAATAAACAAAGAAACTAATTCGATTTTACTAGTTTCGTCGAACAAAGTTTGTAAGAAGATTGTCAAAGATATTAGTTCCAACAACTATTACCTACGTATGATTTCTTGCTCGCAGCGCCGTCCCTTTCCTTAACTAATTTATAATAAGTTTATCGGAAGTACAGAGTAGTTAGGGAGTGCATTAATTTTAGTGGCAATTTGCTTAGCAAGTGTCCAGATTATAACGAAGAAGTTGTCTCTGTGTAGTTTGTAACTTTACACGTACTATGTGCATGGGAAGTGAGCGACTTTGCCAACCAGGGCCATGATTGTTACGTCGTTTGAGTTCACGGACTTTCATTGCATTAATCGCATAAATATACTGCTTTCCTCTTGGTTGTGGACGTTTATTTGTTTAATTGAACTAATTGAATCATGCAAAAGTTGATTTTACACGTCTTAGGGTTACTCAATTCCATAGCTCTACACGAATAACACCTGAACGTTACTACAAGTATATTTTTGTAGTTGAATCGATGTATGAAAAAAAAAAGATATATTTGTTGACTTTGTCTTTCCATTATTTTTCTGTGGTCTACCACACTTGAGATCCTTTTAAAAACAAACATTGATTTTCTTCTAGTGTCAAGTGGACAAGATTATTACTTCTTTTATTTCGTGATCCAGGATGCATACGACTGAACAAATAAAGAGATTTAACTCATGTATGGGAGTTATTTTTTTTTTCAATGCTTAATTCCACGCGTTACTACTCAACGATTGTTATCAAAACATTTTGCTAAGAATAAGTACCACAGAGAGTGCCATTATGAGATGATTTTTCCATTTTATTTTAACATTTTAAAATATTTACACGTACATTCCATTGCAATTTACGCTTATCCACGCGTCCATTTTCAAATTTCCAAGTCCCAACAACCTCGAGATAAAACTCCAATTTTTCCTTTTCAAACTTCTCGATAAGCTTCAGCCCAGCCACGCGTATTTCGCTCGAATTTTCCCTTCGTCCGAAAAAATAAAACGCCCCAATGATCGCACCTTTCCGATTTTTTGAGCTCCACCCACGTACAAGTATAGAAACTAGCTCACGCGATTTCAAAAGGAAAAAAAAAACAAACAACAAATCCGTTCGTACGCAATAAATGCGAGATGGTGGCGTAGGTAAAACGCCCGTGTTTTACTAACCCCTGTGCTATTCTAAATATCCATCCAACCAATATCCAACCCTTAAAAAAAAAAAAAAAAATGGGTGCACGCACCAAAAGATCGGCTAAAGAGNAAAAAAAAAAAAAAAACCCAACTTGCACCCATTTGTTACACTCAGAGAGAAAATAAGTTTAAAAAAAAAAGGAAACTTAAACGTTTTTTCGACAGAAGCTCTTGCGTACTCGAACCCACTAAAATATACTCCGTCGCTACGTGCCAGAGAGAGTATAGTGCAAAGAAAGCACCGAAGAGGAGAAAAACGAAAGTTGGCCGTGATTTATCGAACGACGGCAATCCGAGTCAGCTTTCCAGGGACCGTATACGAACGTACATGATATAAGGAAGTTATACAGGATCCGCGCACGTGGTTTCCAGCCAATGTTAATACACCAAGGGCACGGGGATATCGTTATTAGTTTCCCTCTCGTGTTTGTATGAATGTACGCAAGTGCAGCCTCTTGGTGCGTTAATCTCGTTGAGTTACGATTTCTTGTTTCCCTCATTACAAATGTTCGGTTAATTCTACGTGGAAATCCACATGGAGGATTCCACATAAGAGTACACGTGTTGGGTGTTTTTCGGACTACACCTAATATTCACCCTCTGATATCCTCGTAGGAATATTAATCCAACTTGCATAATATCCACGTGGAATGAGACTTGATTCCCTAGACAATGCTAGACATACCCCGAAGAGATTCTACAGAGATTCCTTAAGGTACTGTCGAATGCTCGAGTACATTTTCCAACCACACCGCGATAATTACTCATCCATTGGCCCATGGGGATTATATTTAGATTATTTGAACACTTGCAGTGTAAAGCCTTGAGATTCTCCGTTATTGTAGGGTTTCGTATTCGGCGTGATAATCGTACTACCAGCGCTGCTCTGGTGGCTAAAAATGCAACTATAACCTGTTATGCTTATATCGTTTTGAAATTTTAGCGGGCTTCGTGGTAATTGCAGTGTACTGAACAAATTAATCACTTTGATTTGGTAATTCATTTATTGTGTTTGTACAGTTATAAAGTACAGACAACACCTAACATAGCCTGGACTTGAATAATCACGAAGCTCGTTGGAATTTTAAAACGATAAGAATGTAACGGGTCATAGGGGAATTTTCAACCACCAGGGCAGCGCTGATTGGATTGAAATGTTCACACGTGTATCATAAACCCAACCACAACATGAACATGTACTACAACGAGCGTAGGAGAAAAGAGCAAAAGCACACGTATTTCTCGAAAAGCCGCAGACATTCCTTTTTTCCTCCATACTACTGTGGTCCTGGAATCTCATTCACGCGATTCTTTACTCGTGGGTTTTATCCCCCTCCGTGTTACTTTTTTTTTCTCCACCAACTCCGTTCCACTTCTGTGCAGCGTGTACCCTCCACTGTGCACACGTACACGCTGCACGTGCATTTTAACGAACACGGGCGCGCGCGCTCAGGGGAGGATTAAATCGGCTCGTGAGTTCGAGCTCACGCGGATTTGCGCCACAGAGAGGGAGATAGTGGTTTCACGCGAGAGCTATGCTGCACGGCCGAATCGCTGTTGATGGGACTGGGCGCGTTTTTGTCTCGCCCCTTCTCTCCTCCGTGCCCCCGAAAACACAACCGTCGAACTTACTCGTGTACCTACACATGTACCCCGTGCGCTATGTGTACTGCAGAACTCGAGATTGATGGAAAGTGCCTAGTCGGAATAACGAGCGATTACCATAGTGCTGTCTGGTAGATGAAATGGAGCTCACGGCTATTGCACTTTTTAACCTCAAACTAAAAAATTATTGACAAAGTATGTAGAAATGGTTTGTGCAAATGAATGTACTTTGTACGATATAATCGTGTCTCGGTCTCTCGTTTGAAAATTGTTACAGGTGTTACGATGGAAGGATCTGATAAGAGATCACTTTTATATACCAATTCACCAAAAATTTATTCTCGAAGAAGTCGTATACAAGTGATATTAAGGAAGTTCCAGGGCCCTATAGGGTCTAAATAATTATTGAATCTAGTGGTACCATTTTTCATACCCCTAACCGGTCAAAACTTCAAGATATAAGTGTTAGCTCTTATAAAGTGTATGCGTACGGTAAACATAGTATACAAAGACCTATCAATTACAACCTCAAACAAAAGTGCCAGGTATGACGAATATACATGTCTTATGAATTAAAACTTTATCTTTCCAATTCCGTTATCACTAAAAACTGGTAATTGGACTAAAAATTTGAATGATTGTGGGAAGAGGTACGATACTGTGTTTACCTCCGGTAGTACGAGGGAATTTTGGGCAGCCATATTGTACTCGCAGGTTACGCGTAGCTTAGAAGCGCGTGCAGTTTAAATACAAAAGGTTACGAAAATTCAAGTAATTAGAGGTATATGTTTTTAAATTTTCTGAACATTCATAGAATTAAAAATATAATTACGCAGAAAAAATAAAACAATGGAAACAGAAAGGGTACAATATGATATGTGTGGTACACGCTGGAATCTCCTAAAATGGTAGCTAAGGTCTAAATCTTGTAGAGGGCTCGTTACAAAGCTCAACCTAACCTAAAAATGTATGCAGTGCACCCGTGTACAGTGCAAAGCACATTATATGAAAAAATTTACAAAAATTGTGTTTCATGTTACCACTATTTAATTTCCTATTGTATTCAAGCATTCTTTATTTCGTGCAATTAATCAACCCGCGCCATACATAAAAACGTATGATTATAATTTACTTTTTCCAGAAAAATTTTAACGCAAAATTTACTTTAATTCATCCACCAGAGCAGTCACCTATGAATATTTGTAAACTGACAGGATCTTTTTGAATAGGTGTACATATGGCAAAGTGAAGGCCGTGTACAATCTCACACAGCCCACCATGTGACTCAAATCATATACGTATAGCGTTGGTAAGAGGGCGCGCATGCATTCTGCACCAATGAAGCGAGATCGGCTGCTGCTCTGCTGCATCTGTCCCCGACCCCGGCCATCATGGCTAATTACACCCGGTTGGTGCATATATGTACAGCACTGCGTAGGTAACACCAGTAGGACTGCGTGTATATATACTCACGTACTATTACATACTTAATGTATACCCTTCGGCGTGAGCGCGTGTTCGCGTTGATTATGAGGTTACCCTTCGCTCATTAAGCGAGCGTGACTGTGTTAATCGATGTATAATCAA